ATGCTTGACTCACACATTCGCAAGTTATTCAGTTAACGCGTTCATATCGATTCGGATATGAAACTTTCCCATTGATGGCTGTTGTCATGGAAGGCATTGTAATACTAAAGTAATGACTGCTTTTTCACAACATTGCAGACACACATCGGCTGCTCTGCCTGTAGAAGAAAAGGAAATTGCAGGTGGCAAATTTATTAACTGCGACACTTTTTCTGCGGGCGCTTTTTGTCTTGTTGATAAAGTAAAGCTATATCGGCCATTTTAAAGTCGCGCTACAAGACTGGGACGGTGTTGTGTCAAATTGCATTGTGGAACTGTTTTGGGGACTAATTTTGACCCAGTTTCCAGGGCAGCGTCGTAACAGCCAAAAGAATTAGCGACAGCTTTTACCAAACAATCCCACAGTACAATTCGACATAGTACCGGCCCAGTCATACCCGCAACTCCAAAACTGATAGGCTAATGAAGAAATGTTTTTATTTTCCTCCTATTTAATCCCATATTGCAGTGGTAAACTGTAGTGCACTCACTCCTCCTGCGAATGGTACCGTGTCTCCACGTTCGTGTTTATCAAGAAGCACTTACAGCCAGATCTGTAGTTTTTCCTGCAATACACCAGGCTACGTTCTTGAGGGCACTTCAGCAAGGGTATGTGACAGGAACGGAGAGTGGACTGGGAGCAAGAACACGTTTTGTCGAGGTATCGAGTACTTTCTCCTTTAAGTGTTACACTATAAAAACTTGCCTGTATTTATTTTGCCATGATTTATCTCTATAGTAAGTGAGATTAAAAGTCGATGTTCGTAAAGCGTTTATATAATCAAAAAGGACCTATCCCATCTAATCAAAATATCTACAGATAACTAAACACAGTTTTTCTGTTTGCATTGACTCAAATAAATTAAGAAGAATTAAAAGACATGACAACAAAATGAATGAGAACATAAATTTCGTTTAAAATTGTCCATGTGCATCCTTCTTCTTTTATCTTATTATTATAGTCACATTTAACAAGATCTTTGTCGAAACAAAATCTGGTTGTTTTCAGACAGTACGCCTCCTTCTTTCAACGGCAGTTGTCCAAGAAACATAGTGGTTTCTGTTCCTAAATGTTCGTCCAGTACTGGGGTCTCATGGAATGAACCAATAGCAAGCGATAACTCCGGTCACATGACTTTAAGCTACCCAGCAGTACGTCCTCCAGCCAATCTAAGTATTGGTCTGCATTATGTTCACTATTCTGCAGCAGACGCCGAGGGAAACAGAGCGAACTGCAGCTTTGTGGTGCAAGTCATAAGTAAATATACCTATCAATAATGCCATTTATATAAATTATCGAGAAGTAGTTGCTTAACTTGCTTATGACTCCTGTTTTACGCACATACGAGCTCGCCGCTCACACTGCTCCATGGTCACTGGCACGCTCAAACAGGATATAAAAACATTTTATAATCTGTAAGTGATTGCCTGGCAACATCACCTTTCCGGGAAATGTGGGAGGACAGGGAGACGGGATATCGGGAGAATAAGGGCAGGAGCGATACGGGAAGCAGGAGAGGAAAAAGCGGGAGGGGGATAAAATTACTCTACAATCCTTAGTATTTTGTAATCTATAAACGAGGGCAAGGGGGAGGAAGCCAAGAATAAACGGGCAGGAGCTGGGAATGTAAGGTACGAGAGGAGGGAGGTTTGGATCCCCTACCCACCCCTCCCCCACTGAAATGAATTCCATTAAGGAATTGTTCCAATCCCATATTTATCTCCTTAGATATGTCAACAGAACTTAAGTGTTCGATCTTCTTAAGACATAGTGATTGATGGAGTGTCTTTACAAAGTTCAAACTTCGTCAAAGATCCTTTAATGAAACACTCAAAAAGGCTGCTCTAAGGAACCTTATACAACACTCAGTCGACATCTTATCATTCCTCTCTGGACGATGTTAGGTTCCATGTCTTTGCTACATACATCAGGAAAGTACCTACTTCATGCGTAAGTAAGTTATATGTTTAAAGTATTTTGTTTTTATTTCCGCAGAAAGGTCGTGCCCTGTCCTTCAACCCCCAGTCTATGGCGCCATAACTTCTCTTTCATGTGGATCCGCCTACGGTTCTCAGGCTATTATCGCTTGTAACGAGGGACATCGACTGATTGGGTCACGAGTGCGGTCATGTGAAGCAAATGGGACATGGTCAGGCAATATAACTACTTGCAAAAGTAAGAAAACACAGCATCTGACCAATAACAACCTCTCCTCGTGGCGCGCGGGGTGTGATGGGAAGGTGGAAAGCGAGGGAGAGAGTCTTCCCCTCTTCTCCCTTCCCATCAACCCCTGTTCCCGTCGAGCGCGTCACGCGTAGGCGACTGGGGATAAGTCACACACTGCATATCCTTTGCTATAAAAACAACTCATTCTTTACTTTGTCAACTGACAATGATTCAGCTTTGAGCCCAATTCCTTTGTTGATGCATTATTTTACGCTGATGATAAGGCGCCGTGACGCAAGTTGATCTTTTTGTAAAGGCATTTGAACAGAAGCAGCAATTTTTTATTTATTTATTTATTTTTTATTGTCAGTGAGTATTCCAAGCGTTTAGACGAACCATCAAATAAGGTTTTTTTCCAGCCCATCTCCTCCTGGCCACGCTGAGAATGGGTGGAGTAAACTGATCTAAAACACCCAGTCACAATTAAATCAGTTTGTGATAGTACTCCTGAAACCGATGCTTTCTTCCTGATTGTTCATGTTATATTCTCGCCAGCCCATCTTTTTTTTCATACAGAAACTAAAATTAATGAATAAAATTAAGAAACACTTCTTTAGTCGAATTCCCCTCTTTACTTAGTCAGCTTCTTTCGTGTTACAATAAACGGTCCAACAAACGCCAAACAGCCTGGTAATGTTGTATACAGTGATTAAAAAATTATTTCTTGGAATTATTTTTTATTCAGTTGTTAAGTGCCCATCCATCAAAGCTCTCGCCAACGGAAAAATCAGCCCCGCTCCCTGCACTCGTTCTGGGGGAGTAAGTTATAAGACACAGTGTATTCTACAATGTGATGTCTTAAATGGTTATGGACTTGATGGTCCCACGCAAGTATCTTGCCTGGCAAATGGCTCCTGGAGTGGAAACATTAGCAATATTAGCTGTAAAGGTAGGTACCAAAAAATACTGTTGAACTAAAATTACATTTCCTTAAATGTCGAGTCTTGGAGTTTCTCCTTTGCTTTACTGCTTGGTCCTCAAATGGTACTGGCACTAACTACTTAACGTACATACACTTGAACAAACCTGTTTATCCAGTCTGTGAAAATAACTATGTATTTTTGCTTTCATTTCTAACAACAGATATTCAACCTCCCAGCATTCAATGCCCACCTAACATGGAGACTCCCACAGTCGCTGGGAAATCATACGCAATAGTCACGTGGCAGGTTCCAGTCCCTACCGACAACTCTAAAGGATTCTTGAATCTTAGTGGCCTACTTCCTCCAAAGCGGATGAATGTTGGCACAAACATAATCAGATACGATGTCACTGATCTAGAAGGGTTAAAAGGGGACTGTCATTTCTCCATTCGAGTTAAAGGTGAAATTAGTGAAACAGATAAAATTTGTGATACTACTGATGACTACGGGTGCTGTTGGTTTCTTTTGTTCACACTTTGAAAACCATACTTATATGAAAAAGTTATCTCAATAAAGATTATCATAATTTTTTGTTTTTTTTCGTGGTCTAAGGAAGGGGCTATAATAGATGAAGTAAAACCAGGCCCGTGGCCTAGTAGAGGGGGGGGGGTTATAGGGGTCCAAGCCCTTTTAAATATATCTAAAGGTTTGACGGGAATATTTTTTTTTCAAAATGATCACCAACTTTCATCTTGTAGCTTAACAATGAAACTTGCGTTGCGCGTTGCCTCTCATAAGACGTGACGAAATCTGGATAAAATTGTTTTTTAAAAACACTTTACGCAAAAGACTGGGTACTAAACGAGTGCACATCGCAAGTCCTGCACGACAACGAGGTCTATGTAAAGGAACCCCAATATGGCAGACGTCACGTCATGTGAAAACGTAACGTCATGTTTGATTAGCAAAATTTTCTGGCTCCAGTCTTTGGGGTACTACTGCAGGGGTGAGTCGTTAACAGTTGATTATATTGTCCAAACGTTATATATTTCTATGAACAGATCTCGAGCCGCCCAAGATAGTTCCCTGTCCTGGTGATATCAAGATTATATCAACAGCCAGATGGCACAAGCTCGTCCTGCCGTCAGTTAATGTCACAGATAACGTGGGTGTGGAGCTTTTCTCAACAAATATTCAAAATGGAAGTGAGATGACCTGGGGAGAGCATAACGTTACTTACAAGGCATTAGACAGGGCAGGAAATGCTGCGTACTGTAGATTCCTTTACACTATAGCTGGTAGGTTATGCTTTTTTCATTTTTTCTTTTTTCGTTGGATCGTTTTGAAGGCTAAAGCTCAGGTAGGATGGGGAGGGGGTTGATATTCCCGAGAAAATCAGGCTATGTGTTTCTGGAAAACCTTGTTTCTATTTTAAACCAAAGTATATAACTTTTCCTTCCTCGTTTCAAACCTGCACTGAATCCCATTACTACTCTAAACCTGACCTTAACAGCTCGTACACTCTGATACATGATTCCACCTATACTCGGCTAGCAAATGATTTGAATTGCGTCCACATTTAAGAAGTTCTTCAGTTAATAATATTGCGTCTCTTATGAGCTCTGCTTGGCCAATTGTACAGGTCGATCGGTTCCAGTCCAGAGGGACGAGTCTTATCCCGTTTAATGTAAAAACAATGTAAGTGCCCTAAAGATCGATAAATAAGCTTACTTTTTGGCGCCTCACATCTACATATATAGCTCACTCAAAAGAGAGAACAGTTAAGCCATAACACTAGACTGCGAGCAGTCTCTCTTTTTCTTCAGATTTAGTGAGAGCAATGCACGCGCTCGGGAGCGGCGAAGCCGCGAGACGCGCGAACCCGTCTCGCGTCATCAGTCACGCGCGTGGCCATTTGCGTGTCTCGCGTTTTGCTCGACCGACTACAGAAAAAAGAGAGACTGCTCGTAGTCTACCATAACACTTTTCTCTAAAACTAACGAATGGTATCAGTCATATCATAAATCAATAATTATCATTATTTATTATCAAGATTCACCATGTGAAAAGCTTGCACCACCTGAGAATGGAGCCAAAGCGTGTGAGACGTGGTTGGCTGGGCTTATGTGCTCGGTGCATTGTAATAACGGATATGGATTTGCGAACCAACCACATCCCGTATATTTCTGTAGTCCTACTACTGGAGAATGGTTTCATGAAGGGAACAACAAAGGGAAAAAACCATCCCTTCCTGATTGCTCAAGTAAGGAAATGCAATACGAGAGTCAACTTTCTTTAATTTAAGATGGACTTGACCGTTGTGATCGGAGACTGGACAACAACAGGGACCAACTTTAGCGGTACTTACCATTAACATAGGGAAAACCGGAAATTCCGATCCCGTTGAAAAATCTACTTGTGGGTGCCATTCCGTTTGGAAATCTCCAGAAAACAGGGGCTATGTTTGATGCGAGGCGATTTTTCTACTCTTTTTAGGGTTTTCAGCTGATATGGATATACTTTGTTGCGGATCTTTTTCCCTCCGATGTAAAATTTTATAGTTTTATGTTTAAGGTGGTTTTTGTAAATGGTAAGCACCCCTAGTGTCTATTTTAGAGAGATGTTCGTCTGATAGAAGAGTCCGTTAAGAAATAGTTGACCTAATTAATCTTAACTGTATCAAGAAAAGGGACCTGAATTTGAGTACAGTAGGTATTGTTCTGTATTGTTATTTTTGGTCGTTTCTTGCCTTGTAAGGACAAAAACAATCACAGAAACACAAAACGGATCGAAATCCACCAATCACAAATCACAAACCTTGGTCTTTTGAACCCGTTAAAGTAAAGTTTTCTTTCCTAAGAGGTCCGTTAAGATAATTGACGGCAGCGAAAAACGCAATCGTCAGTTGGCTTTTGAACTTTAGAATTCGCATGTTTGTGAAAAGCGCAGTAATGCCTTTCAAAAATTAAGGACCCTAGCTGTAACGCAGTATTTGCTTTCCATAAAGGTGCCTATGTTACAGATAAACAATTGACATCTGAATATCGGTTTACTCAACAAGGGTAACCAAGGACATTCGAATAGTTCTCGTTATTGATTAGCTAATGCATGTCTTTGTTGGGAAAGAAACTTGACGCATTGTGATTGGACGGCTAGTGGTCACTTTGGTGCCCCACCTCATCGTAACCTAGCAATTTTTTAAATTCTTTTTCTCCATAATAGGGACACACATACCCAAAAGTGCTTTGGTGAACGGGCAATACCACTATCTCACTGACAATTGTGGCGGAGAAACAATGAGGGAAGAGATCGCAAGGAACTTCATAGAACTTTTAATGAGAACATCGTTTGGTCAAGCTGGAGCTTGTAGTGACGTCTCTCAGTGTAATATTCAAAACGTCGAGGTCGAATGTGGCGTTACAACTCGTCGAAAAAGAGATACCACTAGTAACCAGAATACGACGACAATTCCTTTGACAGTTAGCTTTTCGTTACAAATTCCTTTATCTGGCGATCTCAACACATCTGTAGATATAAACCAGACATCAGTCCAAATTTCGAAGGAAGTATTAACTGTTCTGAGCAAAGTCGATATGACTTTGAATGTCAGTGGAATGGTTATACGTACAGATCCCTCAAAACCTCCCCAATTTCAGCTCTCTCGTCTGGTTTGTGAAGAGGGGCAAGTACAGAGTGGAGTGATGTGTGGTAAGGGCACGATGGTCTTAACGATAAGTCTTTTCGATTCAGTTACTCCGGTGGCTACTGAGTTCTTTATTATCTTTCAGCTGTCAGTGGCTCATATTTAACACCTCACGCAAAATATTTTCGACATATCCCGAATTTTCGTCCCTAGAGTTTCCAAGAAAATGTTATCGAGAACTGCAAACTGGCAAGTGATTCTGTCAATATAATCGGTCCACAGTTACAAGTAATTAAAGTTTTCCTAACGAAAAGAACGAAGGAACCACATACTTTGACTTCAATAATAAGGCAGGGATTCTTGACGAAGCTTAATGACCCATGACAAACTTCAAGTAAAGTTTTCTTTTCTAGGAGATACATATAGGAAGCGCCTAGTTAGCTAGCATCGAGTGTGTGTCGCTATGTTTTATGGTTGAAGTAAGTAAAAATGTCTGATATTGACTTTCTTTATCTAGTTAACTGTCCTATTGGATACTTTTTCGATGGCACAAGCTGTCAAGCATGCGCAGTAAACCAATATCAGGATCAAGAGGCCCAGAATTCCTGTAAATCATGTCCCGCTGGAACATCAACTTCCGGTCAGCTCGCATCAAAGAAATTGCAAGACTGCCAAGGTGGGATTACGTTTGAAACTGTATTTGCTCTTATCTTAAAGTGAGCTTGTACCTTAATTAATTAGAATGGCATTAAGTCAATTTTTCACGTGAGCAAGTGAGAGTGTTCGATTGAATTAACTCTCAACCCGTCATCACGTGTCGACAAATCCATCTGGAAAAGATGGTTGTCTGCGCATTTTTGTACTGGTACTGTACAGGCAGAGTGTCACAGGAAGGTTAAAGATATTATTTGCAAATTAAGGTTTAGTAGTGTTAGCTTCAATTAAAGATTTTCTTTTACTTTCTCTCTTCTCAGATCAACTCAAGACAAACTCAAAAAAGCAAAGCGTACTTTCCAAACCAATGGTCATTGCTCTTATAGCTGGTGGATCAGTTGTGGTCATCATTGCACTGATGCTTTGCGGAGTTTTTATGATGTAAGTTGACAGATAAAATTTATTTCATACTCTCTCTCTCTCTCTCTCTCTTAGTGAATATAGGGGGCAGTTTTAAGACCTTAAGTCTTACACATTCCGAGCATTGTAACAGCCAACTAGTGCCATTTACTGATATTTTTTTACACTGATAATTTAAGGTGGCAAGAAGAAAGGAAAAGTGGTAGCTAATGGTGCTATTGTTCGTGAAAGAGTTTTGTCAGTTCGAAAATATAAAAATGCTAAACGAAAAGAAGATTGTTAAAAATAATAATTATAATAGTAATAATAATGATGATGATAATGATCGTAAAAATAAACAGGTTTTGTTTTTTTACTTCAATAACAATTGAACGAGGCAAAAACAAATATGGCTGAGACATCAGTTCGGACCACGGCACGTTACTGTACCCCAGTAGAGCAAATAAGGACAAAAGGGAAGTCACAATTAAAATATACATACAGTTTACAACTGAACTAACCCTACATACCCTGCAATTCCCTCATTCTCTTTTTTATAGGAGGAAAAGACAACACCCAGGCTCGGAAAGTTGTCAAAATGGATTTTCTAATAAAGCCTATATTGACTTGGACGAATTAGGACCACAAGTGGTTATGCAGAGTTCTAATGCATAAGCTGTTGCATTGTATGGGATAATATTATTAATTGAAAAATTATAGGGACTTTAAGATGCATCGACAGTGACGGCAACGAGAACGAAATGCTTGAAAAGTGAATTTGCGTTCTTTCAATCTTTATGGCGATTACGCCAACTCATTTACTTTGAGAAATGCAAGCGAACTCTTTTTGAACCGAATTCAAAACAATCAGTCAAGTTCAAAAATAGAAATAAAATTTAGCCGTCGCTTGTTTACGTCCTCCATAAAACGGGATATTAGGCATTTTGCTTTCGTAGTAGTGCAGTAATGGCAAATTAAGAAATTACAAAAAATCGTGATGCACTCGCAGAGTTGTTGCCTTGCCTTTTCAACCTATTGCCTTTTTGATGTTCTCCTTGTCGTCGCCCTCGTGATATCTTAAAGCCCTATTTACGAACTGTGGTGTTGTACAGATCAATGATAGGTGTATATATATATATAGGTACGGGGTCGGATAGGCTTTATGAACATTTGCGCTCAAAGGAAGGCGGGGAGGAGAAAACGGGCTTTTCTTCTTCCCATGGCAGGGTTTTCAACTGTTTTGTAAAGTAGCGGACATACTTCTGAAAGCACCGGACGTGAATTTTTTCTTGGCGCCGTAAGGCGCGTCGCGAGCGCCGAAGGCGCAAGCACCTAGGGGGTCTGGGGGCATGCTCCCCCAGGAAATTTTTAAAATAGAATACTCAGAAACGCCATTTCCAGCGTTTCTGGAACCAAGGAAACAGTTTCCTAGGCAATGCTGGCGCTCACTAAAATTCTCTTTAAAA